AACACACAAACAGCAGCCTGGGAACCTCAGTAGATTCAGAGGCCCATGTTCACTGCCTGCTTCCAAGGACACAGAACAAAGGTCATCTGAAACCCTGGGTAATGCTTACTCTGGGCAATGTATGCTTCTATCCAGAGTTGGATGACCTCTACAGACCAGGCAATACTAATTCCCTTTGGGCCAGTCATTAGGATGACTTCCCAGAGCACTAGGCCACTTGCCTCCAACCCCCTGTTGGCCACCAAAAATGACGGTGAGAGTGTAAATGGGTACATTGCCTGGAGAGTGCAATTTGGCATTCTCTTCCAAATTTGCAAGTACATATGCCTTAAACACAGCGATTCTATTTGTAGAAACTTATTCTACAAATATACTTACACACATGTATGAACTAATTTATTCATTGCCACATCATCTAAATAAAGATAGAAAGTCTGGCTTGGTGCCTCATGCTTATATTACTGTCTACTTAGGAGGCTGAGGCAGGAGAATCACAAGTTTGAGGCTAACCTGGACTGAGCAAGATTCTGTCTCAAGATAAAATAAAATTTAAAAAAGGGCTGGGTATGTAGCTCAGTAGTAGAGCATTTGCCTGGCATGTATAAGTCCCTGAGTTCAATCCCCAGTACTGAAAAAGAAGAATAAGGAAGAGGAGGAGGAAGTGAAAGAGGAAAAGAAAGGAAATAACTAGATATCTCTCAGTATATAATTGGTTTCATGGATTATGGTACATCCATGCAATAGAATATTTAAAAATGAGAAGAGATTTTATGTATTGATCTGAAAGGATCACAGATATATAGTTAAGCTAAATAATAAAGGTGCAGAACGTTGTATGTTTATGTGGAGAAGAAAGGACAAAAGAATATACATTTGAGCTGGGTATGTTGGTGCATGCGTGTTGTCTCAAGTTACTTGGGAGGCTGAGGCAGGAGGATTGCAAATTTAAAAAAAATATTTTTTGTTCTTTTTAGATATACATGACAGTAGAGTGTATTTTGACATATTATACATACATGGAGTATAACTTGTTCTAATTAGGATCCCATTCTTGTGGGTGTACATGATATGGAGTTTCACTAGTTGTGTATTCATACATGAACATAGGAAAGTTATGTCTGATTCATTTTACTGTCTTTCCTATTCCTATCCCTCCTCCTGTAAGATTGCAAATTTGAGGCCAGCCTGGACAACTTAGGGAGGCCCTGTGTCAAAATAAAAAATACTGGGGATGTAGCTCAGTGGTAGAGTGACCCTGGATTTAATCCTCAATAACACACACACACACACACACACACACACAC